CTGAATGAACAAATCATCTTTGTCTCGTCTCTCTCAAACCGGCGCATCGGCTCACTCCAAACTCCATTTCTCCGATCATTGCACGCCTTCTGTTCATTGATTCATCCTTATAGCTCTAATACCAGCATCCTCATCTCCGCTTAAACATCTTCGCGACCATTTTCTTGAATCGAACCCAAATAGAAAACCCTAAAAAAAACTACAAGCCGATTCGATGTGTCTTCTCTATCAATTGAACTTCAGCACCTTGGGTCGTGGTTCGACATATTACCAGTTACATCACAACATACAAATCAAGGAGAAAGACGAAGAAGAACGGCTTATCTACCGGATAATTCCAGCGATCTTTCTCTTGTGGCGGTGAAACGAACCAATAAACCAGAGATCGATCCTCGAGAGTTCAGGTATGAATATCCTTCCGGTTGCTTTTGAGTCTCTACTTTCCGCTATTTCTTCTCCTTCTCAATACTTTTTGCATTCTCTATAATTCTATTAATATTGATCTGAGACTATGGCGAATCAAGTTGAGGATGAAGATTTGATGATGAGGACATGTCTTGCAATATTGTTGAGAAGATTGAAGATCTTGGAAAATGGAGAGAAGCAGAATTGATGATGATGATTCAATCATTGAATAAAATTCTTTGAAGCAGGTAAATGACGTAGTAGAGAGGATGTGGTTTAGAGAATGGTGAAGGAGGACCCAGATGCTTGAAGGTTCATCCCCCTCTGATTGAAGAGTTTTTTTTCTTCCAGCAGAACAAGAAAAAATTGAGAGGAAATCCCAGAAAATCATTGAAAAGTGAGTTCTCTCGTTTTTCTCTTCCTTCTTCTTTTTGTTACAAATCGGTTTCCATTCTATTATCCACCCCCAGCCCTTCTGTTACGATTCTGTTATCAATCTTTTTTTCTCTCTCCCCCCGTTTTCCTTTCTGTTATATTTTTGTTCTGGAAAATTCCCCTTGGTTAATTCAGTTATGAATTGGTTATACAGTTAGAAAACAATTAGGGAACTCATCTCTGGGATTTTTCTGTTACGATAGTGTTGCACCCCAAAATTTTCCCTCTCATATTTCTCAAAACATTGCAAGAAAGATCTCCAAATTGCTCAAAGTAGTCCAAGGGTTGGCCAGACAAGCTCTCTCCTAAGGCAGTCTACTCAAATTAGGGTTTTGTGTTGCATCAAGATCCTTGAGTCCAAGTGACCCCAAGTGCTCACCAATGTCCTAATATGTTCTCAAGATCATCCATGTCAATTTTTAAGCCTTGCAGAGGAATTTTACTCATTCAATTGCTCAAAGGTCCAAAAATCGATTGTGCTAGGGCAAAAGTCAACTGTGACCCAAATACAGTCAAACTTCAAGATTTTTTGTCAACATTCTAATTTTTAAGGATATTTCATCATTTTATCAATGGTTTATAATTATTCATCAAGGATTGCTCAAAATTCATCAAGATTCAAAAGTTGCTAAATTAGGGTTTTGTTGGAAAAGTCAACTCAACTTTGACCAAGCATAACTTTCTCATACTTTATGATAAATGAACCATCAAAAGCTAATTTTTAATAGGATGCAATTCCCTACAATCCATATTCATACCCCAAGATCAAAATATTCAATCACAAGAAGTTATGAATTTGGACATTATAGGTCATTTTGAAAAGTCAACAAAAAAACATTTTTTGTCAAAGCTTCTAACCTGAGCATGGAATATCAAAATGAGATGAGACCAAAAGGGTTGATTAGAGGACATCTCAAGCTTTCTAAAAAGTCCAAGAACAACTCCAAAAGTTCAAAATTGAAGAAGTTATGCATTGTTGAAGTTGGACTTTTTTGCAAAATTGCCAAAAGTCAACTATCCTCAAAACTTCAAATTTTGCCAAATGGGCCCATTCTTTTTCACTTGTTTTGAGTTTGCATTATTTCCCACGTGCTCTAGCCTTGCCCATGTGTCCATATCATATTTTTATTAGATTTAATTTGAATTAAATCAAAATAAATCAAATAAAATCAAAAACATTGAAAACTAAAGATCTTGTGATCATTTCAGGTCTTGTTACACAGCTAGCATCCTTCCAAACTCGTATCAAGGCATGTGAGTACAAAAAGATGTGATTTGGATCAAATTTGGAAAGCTCTAATGGAGGATCAAATCAAATATAAAAATCATCAATGGAGGAAGATTTGGACAAATTTTTTTACCCTAATACATTGTGCATTACATAAGGAAGCGAGGGATACATAAATAAGGGTTAGAGATCAGTTCTAGAGGCAGAACCAAATTGGAAAAAATCAAGAAAAAGTGTGACTTCAAAATCAAGGCTAGAGGCATTTTCAAGACTTGGTGTTGGTCTCAATCTCTTCCTGGCCATCTCCACAAGCAAAACCAATCAAAATCACGCATTTCCAGACCCTCCCAGGCGCTGTAAGTCATCCACGAAGCCACCCTGTTCTTGAATTCGATTTATACGATTCTTGCATCTATAATGAAAAACAATCACATATTCTGAATCACCATGACATTTGCTAGCTTTCTGCAATAACCAATTTCATTCTTATGCTTTATATCGTGGATCACCATTGTAGGGTTTTCTAGGTTTTTTTTAGGGCTTTTATTACAGGAATAATTGGCTTGCGTGAAGGGTACCATCTTGTTCAGGGGAACAAGACGAGCTCAACTATGGCGTTACCTTCCATTTATATGGCATGGGGAAGATTTTAGAATGAAGCTACGCTTTTAGCTGGGATAAAAATCCGCAGGTAAAAGTTGCAGGATTTAGAGGACAAGGATGATGAGTTGTCGTCCATTCATTCGTCCATTCAAATATTTACGCGCTTGTTTTTTATTTCTGGCCATATACTTTGTTTTTATATATTATTTTTTGTTTGTATTATAATAATAAAAACAACAACGCAGCCCAGTGGTGGACACCTCAGCGCGTAAGGACCCAAAGGCTGGAGGTCAGGGGTTCGATCCCTGCCTCCAGCAATTTTCATTTTCATATTTGTTTTCAGGAAATCATGTGCATATTCAAGCTGGAGGTTCACCATGGACATTCACCATCAAAGCGCCAGATGGCCAAATGGCCAGATCTGGTGGTCAACATCAAAGGTCCACCAAAAGGCAGGTCAACGCGTGTGTACAGGATAACAAAAAGTCCCAATGGATCAACCTCAAATGGGCCAGCCAATTGCTTTTGACACCTCCAACTAATCAGGCCCAATTTCTCATTCTCTTATACTTTGTTTATTTAATTTAATTATTTAATTTTGTTTTAATTAATTTTTAACCAATAACATAATTTTCTTTTTTTTATCAAAAAATCACAAAAATACTTTTTATCCAATTAAAATTCAGAATTTCATTTTTTATTAATAAATACTAACTAATTAATTAGGTTTTTAATTCTAGAGCAACTTTAATTTATTTTGTAAATAAATAAAATCAATTAGAATTAATTAGGTTTTAACATTCATTTAATTATTTTATTTTTTTTCTTAAATTAATAAAAACTCCAAAAATATGTCATTTTTTTTATTTTTCATCAATTAATTTATTTCATAATTAATTTAGTATTTAATTTAGGACTTAATTTCTTTTTCTTAAAATAAAAACAACAAAAAAGAATTTTCTTTTAAAAGGGTCAAAACCCTAATTCGCATTCGATTTAATTTCACTCGCGCGATTTATTTTTCTTTATCCAATAGATGTATCTGCTCCCGGTTTGTAATAATTAATTAGGACCTTTATTTATTTTACCGCTTTATTTTATTTTCATAGGGTTGCTTTTGGCGATGTAAATACCCGACGCCTTGTAATAATTTAGTTTAATTTCTGCATTTTAATTCTGCAAATTATACAACTGTTAGATGTTTGGTAATAGGGTTTGCATGACAAGAATGAATGCTTTATCTTAAAATCAAATTAGATCACCCTAATAATGTGCAAAGATAAAAATAACTAAAAACAACACACTCGCACATGCGCACTCCTAGGATACACCCCACTTGGTTGCCTTCGTACACGGTCATTGAGTATAGGTCGTTTTAGAGGTCGTCCTCTTGTCTAAAAGATTATAGTTGCCTCGAAACGGTTGCCTCGGATATTGTTGCCTCAAACAAAAGATCAAAGACACTAGGGTTACCGCTAAGACGTCCTAACATTGCTTTAGTGACTGTATGTCCCTCATTCGAATTGACCCTCAAACTCCAACGACGGTGCTACCTACTCACTAATAGTGGGATAGCATTGTCTAAAGGAAATTAACATAGAACGATTCCTTTTTCGAGTAGGTAGATTAGTTCTTAGATACTTGCTCATCCAAAACAAAACTTTTTTTTCACACTTACACTTTTACAAACAAGTTTTCAAAAACACTTCATTACACTCTTTAGCGAGAGTTAAATCGAAGTTAAAACAAAAACTTTTCAAAACCCACAAGCACAAAGAAAACAATTTTTAAAATGATGAGCAAGTACCTAAGAGCCCGTAGATAACTACGGATAGAAAGAGTGCTAATACCTTCCCTTTCTATAATCTACCCCCCGTACTCAGAAATAATCTCAAAAAAGGAATTTTTCTGTGCTTTTTTTCCTTTCCTTGTTGGATAAAATAAAATTTGGTGGCGACTCTTGCTTACCATGACATTTTGCAAACAAAAAATGCAAAACGCAAACTAGCATTCCAAAAAAACAGTCAGCTCTTCCCACCGTATCATAGATAACTATAAGACATCTCTAACTTACTGCTATTTCCATTATTTTCCTGATTTTTCTACTTGAATCTCTTTTCTGATTAGTATCTTCTTACAATCTTTTTCTCTTTGGTTTGAAACCTGATTATATATTTTATTCCCTCGTTTTCTATTGAACTGAAAACACTGATTTTCTCTGTTTCTGCAATATATTAAACACTATGTTTCCTAGTCGCAAAACTTCATTTAACCATACTCTTCATTGAACCATTTGACCTTTCATGTTTCTCCAGGTATATTGTCCATCTCAGAAGATATCTCTCAGTGGCACAAATCCGCTCTGAAGTAAGCCTTCTACCTTTTTCTGCTCCTTAGCTGCAACTGGTTTAGCATAAGTTATATCTGCAGGAGTAACAGCCAGTGTGGGATATGAAATGGCCAAGGAAAGTGAAGTAACCATGGACACACCAATAGAAAACTTTGCAACAAGGTCATCATCAGTAAGACCGAGAACTTCAGGTCTAAACACAGAGCCATTGTCATAGACAGAGAGGACCACAAGACCATATGAAAAGGGCTTAATTCCCATCTTGGCAAGCAAAGTAGCTTCAGAAGATCCCACCTTGTCTCCCTTCTTGACAAGTTCAACAGGGGTGATGATTTTAGCAGTACCCTTGTTAATTCTTTGTGGGAATATTGAGAACCTGGAAGAAAGAGGTTTGGGATGAATCGAGCCCTGTGTTGCCAGGAGGAACAACAACATCAATAGGTGCAACCAAACCAACACGAGCAAGAGATCCAACCTTGTACTTGGCAACGTCTTCGCTAACCTCCTTCAAGTCCCCCTTGATGAAAATCAAACCAACATTTCCAACAAGGAGAAGAATCAGGTTAAGAAAAGCATTGTTCCCGATCTTCTTAGCATGTTTGTACAAGATTTGGACACTTTTACAAGCTTTTGGAGTTGTTTTGGAATGTGTAATAAACTAGGTTTTGAGTTTTAATGGAATTATGGATATTTTTATTGAACTTAAATTTACCATATGCAATTAAATCTTACATCTGTTTTAATCATATTTGAATGAAACAAAGTTCATCCAGATCCTTAGAATTTTCCTCCTTGAATTTATCTTGTAATTTGAATACCATTTCAAAGTTGAACTTAACATGAATATCAAAAGCTCTTAATTGAATATTGTCTTGCAAATTGAACTTGAAACAGTGACCGATAATCCTTAACAACTTTGGATGCAACTTGAAATCACGTTTTGGAGTCTCGAATTTGGAACGAACCAAAAAGGTATGCCTTAGGCTCTAGTTAATCCAAATATATGAACCTTCCAACCTTGCACTTTTGACCTTGAAATCGCACTTGTATTTGAATTTGAAGGTGAATGAACAAATAAACCCATATGAGAAATAATGAATGCCTTGAATTCAAGCAATTTTCCAACAATCAAAAAGTCAAAAAGATAACAAGACCTTGATCATGAAGAAGTCCTTAAACTCCTAGTATCATGCTGAAAACCCAGAGCCATACCTAATCATTCGACAAGTCTCACCATAAGAAGAGAAACATGGTTCAATCTTCTAGACTTATTGAAAAGAAATGAATCACAAAGAAAGTAACAAAAGGGAGGATCTACATGATTGATGAACTTGCAATAAAGAACAAATGGTGACCCATATAGCCTTAAGGAGAAAACCCAGCACGACGAACTTCCGTTGAGGATCTAATACCAAGCTCCGAATAAGGTAGGAGAAACCCTAATTGATCTTGCTCTGAGTGTACATTAATGAAGAAGGATTAAGATAGTGAGAGGAACAAAACCCCAACTTCAGAACATTCTCAATGAATACACGATGAAATTTTGGACACGCGGTAAACTCTAAAGCACTCTTCCCGGAGAAATTATGATGAAGACAACCTTATATCTCGAGGAGTCCTGCTAGTGAAGACGTCTATGTTGTTTGAGATCCAAAACCCTAGTCTCATACCAAGAATAATGAGAGCACCAGTTGAATCAATTTTGAGTAAGACAACAACCTTAATTCAGAGAGAGAAACCCTAATGCCACAACTCTTCGATCTTATAACCATGAGACTAATGCTATGTGTGAGATGTACAGAGTATGGTGAGGGATCTTAGGGGAAAAATTGCGGTATAACACATGTGTTGCCTGTACTAGAAGAATTTCACTTTGTGACATCATTAGGGCTCACAGAAGCTTCGTAAAGAATTTCCTTCTCAAGAATGGAAGTCTTTCTTTTGAGAACATAGTAATCAATTAAGAATATAATTTTCTTCTCTTAAAGATGAAAATTATTCCTTAAGTTTGTTGTGCTCTTTAGAAGAAAATTCATGGACCTTTTTAAGTTCCTTGAATTCGTTCTTAAGAAACTCATGTTTTTCTAGAATTTCAAGTAAAGAACAAGTTAATTCAGAGTGAGAAAGGTAAAAAAATACTTCTTCTATGTCTGAATCAGAGTCTACAATAACTTTTGGATGGATCACCTCATCATAAGTTTTAATTCTAGCCATCAAAGCTACATTAGCTTTATCTTCTTTGAAATCAACTTCTGATGAATCAGAATCATCCTATGTTACTATCATCCCTTTCTTCTTTCTTTGAAAGCTTTCTTCTAGGGCTTATCCTTATTGAGCTTAGGACACTCGTTCTTATAGTGACCTGGATCATTGCACTCATAGCAGGTGAATTCTTTGTTGATACCAAACTTTATTTGTTCATAAGTATACGCAAAGCAACCATCAGTCCTTCTAGCTCCTATGAGCTTGTTTCCTTGCATTATTTTCCAAAGTTGGTGTACCCTTATGGACAGTAGTGACAACTCATCTTCATCTTCATCAAAATCTTCTTCATAATCCTCGATCTCTTCTGCTTGAAGAGCTATTGTCTTCTCAGACCTTTTGATGCATTTGAGAGTAAAAAATTTGCCTTTCTTCTGAGGTCCATCTTGTTCCAGCTTTATCCAATTATTTCTCAAAGAATTCAGCAGTTCTTCTATAGAAGTGTTGTTCAGATATTTAGCCAATTTAAGAGAAGTTACCATAGGCCTCCATTTAGATGGAAAGCTTATGATAATATTCTTCACATGATCTAAAGTATAATATCCTTTGTTTAGAACCCTAAGTCCTACAACCAAGGTTAGAAAACTTGTGAACATAGTCTTACTCGTTTCATCTTCTTCCATTTTAAAGGCTTCATATTTCAGAATCAAAGCCAAAGCTTTTGTCTCCTAAATTTGAATGTTGCCTTCATGTGTCATTTTAAAGAATCAAATATAGATTTAGCTGAGTCTCTATTTGTTATCTTCTCATACTCAGTATAAAAAATCACATTTAGCAAGATAGTTATTGCTTTATGATGATTCTTATAATCTTTCTTTTGCTGGTCGTTCATAGATCTCTTTTCAATCTTATTTCCTCTTTCATCTGTAGGATGTTCGTAGCCATCAACTAACATATCCCGAAGATCAACATCATGACCTAGAAATAAACGTTATAGTCTATCTTTCCAATAATCAAATCTTTCACCATCAAAGATGAGAGGTTTAACGTTGAAGTTTTCTCTCTCTTTGGATACAATAACAACAGGTGATGGAATAGCCATAGTGTTTCTAAAACGTCTGGACCTTATTTGACAATGTTAAGTGTTTGATAACTATCAATACCAGAACCAACGCTCTGCTACCAATTAAAGCTGCAAGAAACATAAAGGGGGAAGGGGGGGAGGGGTCTTGAATTGGGTTTCTAGAAATAAAATCTTTTCGAAACCAACCACAAGAAGTTAACACAAGAATAAAAATAAATGAACACAATTATTTTTATCCTGGTTCACTGTTAACGAAGTTAATCCAGTCCACCCACCAAAGTGATTTGTCTTTCTCAATCAAGGATTTAATCCACTATAACCAAACTGATTACATAACCACAACAAGACTAATCGTCACTGTTGCAAACCACAAATACCAACTGTCAATGTCTTCTTGAGAATCCTAACTAAATCCCTAGTCTCTCAAGGTAAAATACCTGAAAGATAAACTTTCAATGACTTCTTGAGTATTCAGACTTACACTTAGTCACTCAAGGAACAATCAACTCATTGTTGAATACAAGTTGTTGTGTTTACAAGAATGCTTCTCAAAAGTAGATTACACAAGATTGAAGTACAGATAATAACACAAAAGTGTTAAGCAAGTTGTTGTACCCCAAAATTTTCCCTCTCATTTCTCAATACATTTCCCACAAGGTCTTCAATAGCTCAAGCTTGCACAAAGCTTGACTAGGTCAAGACATCTCCTCAACACTGATGCCTCAAATTAGGGTTTGAGTTTTCATAAGGAAAATTGTACTTTTAATGATTCATATAACTTTCATGGATCATTATGGACTTTCAAGATTTCTCATGTCAAGTTTCAAGTCTTGCAGTTCAAGTTTGCTCAATCAATTGATTAGATGACCTAAAATCAGTTGTATTGGGTAAAAAGTCAATTATGGTCAACTTACAGTCAAACTTCAAGATTTTGGACTCATATCAACATTTTGAACTCATATGTATCATTTGATCAACTTTGGATCACAATTCCCCAATAAAATTACTCAGATTATCAAAAGGGCAAAATGGTCAAAAGTAGGGTTTTGACTGAGAAGGCTTGATTCTTGACTTTTGACTTAATACATGACTTATTGGTTTGAAACAGGATATTAAGGATTCGAGGACATAATTTTGACCTAATTTCATGGCTCAAAACATTTCTCAAGATCATTGGATTGATATATGAAATTTGGTCAACTGATGAAAAAGTCAACTGATACACCAAAAGTCAAACTTTGACTTTTGGTCAACGTTAAGTTTCAAAGATCAAAATTCATCAAGAAATTCAAGAATATCAAGCTTGATCATCAAGAAGTTAAGAAAGTCAAAAGTCAATTTGAAAAGTCAAACTTTCTAAGACTTAGAAATTTTTCTAAGTGTTTTATACATGTTTATTTCATAACTTCATACCAAATTTTCACCAAGATGCAAGATGATTCAAAGAAAACTTTCAACATGGAAGTTGTAGATGTTGATGAATTCTACAACTTTGTTTTATAGGGTTGACATCCAAAAAACCCTTAAATTTGAAGATATAAGCCCATGAACTCATGACATTTTCATCTAACACTTAGAGAAATTTTCAACAGATTTTGGTCAGGATTTTATCCCAACTTCTTGGCATTTTTTCACATAGTTCCAATATGATTTTGTCAAAATGGCCAACATTAAAGTTATAGAGTATGTTTCAAGCTTTCTAAAACATCCAAGAGCATGAATTTATCATACTTGAGCTAGGGGATTCAAGGGCTTGAAGTTGGGCATCCATCCTTGAATTACAAGTCTTTTTGGCGAAGAACACATGATCTAATCTACATGCTATGCTGCATAATCTTATGTTGCAGGCCTTCTTTCTTGCAAATATCTCCATAATTTAACATTTTCACAAAAGATTGAACCATTACCCAAGAGATACAAGCCATTATCCAAATAACTTGCCATTTAAGGTAAAAAGTTATCATTACTATTCTTGAAAAGCAAGCTTTTTGGTACAAAATTTGTCTTGAGCCCATACCTTGTTTACTTCTGATTTTACTCCACCATAAATCATGGAAAGTAGCCCCTCTATACCATCAACTTTGGCACTTCATCTTGGAACTATAGAGAATTGACATAGTTTGATATTTACATCCCAACCAAACTATAA